TCTCCAGAATAGCCCAGCCTCTCTACCAGCTACTCTCAACAACACCTGATCAAATGAACAGAGAGAAGGTCAGGGCCACTACCAGGAAGAAAGGGAACCTCCCACCTAACACTCCTATACAATGGACAGATAACCACCAAAGGACATTGAACTCTCTCATAGACAAGCTGGTAGAGCCTCCCCTTCTTTACATTACATTACATTGCATTTAGCTGACGCTTTTATCCAAAGCGACTTACATTAAGTGCATTCGACCAGGAAGATACAAACTTGAAGGAAACAGAATCATATAAGTACATCAGGTTTCATAGAGCTAAAACATTTCAAGTGCTACTCAACTGGCTTTAAATAAGCCAGTCCTTTATTAGTATACAAGTGCTTTGTTAATAGTTCTGTCGCTCGAAGTGGAGTCGAAAGAGATGAGTTTTTAGTCTGCGCCGGAAGATGTGTAAGCTTTCTGCTGTCCTGATTTTAATGGGGAGCTCATTCTACTGACAATTGTATTACTTTTGAAAATGCTACTGCCTTAAGTCAAAAGCTAACGCTAGACAAGAACTATACCACAAAACACGACAACTCCTAGCTGGTGTTCATAACTGTGTCAATATGTCACAATATGTCGATCTCACATGCTTTTTCAAAGAAGACCATGAAAATGCAGATTGGGACCAAAACCTCTACAGCACGGATGGGCAAATGGCGGCCAGGGGGCTTGTAGTACTGATACCGTCCACTAGACTCCTAGTTACGTCGCAAGCTGCGTACATGATTTCGTTCGGCAGCCAAATACCGCAAAACAATCTGTGACGCGTTTGTGTGTATTGTGTTTGTTTCCCGGGGAAACACTCAGAAGAAACACCGGCTGTTGTTATGCCTGCTGTGACGTTAAGTTACCGCTTGTAATTTTGCCTTTACAAGCTTAAAAGTTATATTTATCATCTGAATTTGGCGAAATAAGTTTACACACACACACACACACACACACACACACACACACACACACACACACACACACACACACACACACACACACACACACACACACACACACACTGTATATTTTCCCTAACTAACATAACCATAGACCAGGGCCCAGGTATATTGCTAAAAGACAAACAACAGCATTAGTTTGATGCATTCATGTAATACAACAATATAAATCATAACACACTTTTTGTCACACAATACAGACCCAGAATTAGATCATTTAGATCAGGGATGGGCAAATGGCGGCCCGGGGGCATAGCAATTATTTTATTTTGTTTTACGTGTAGTACTGATACCGTCCACTAGACTCCTAGTTACGTAGCGAGCTGTGTACATGATTTTGTTCGGCAGCCAAATGCCGCAAAAGAATCTGTGACGCCTTTTGTTTCCCGGGGAAAAACTCACAAGAAACACCGGCTGTTGTTATGCCTGCTGTGGCGTTAAATCACCTCTTGTAATTATGCCTTTACAAGCTTCAAAGTTGTATTTATCATCTGAATTTGGCGAAACAAGTTTTTAATATTCTAAAAACCAAGACTTTGAAATCAGATGAAAACAAACTGTCACGGACCCTGCCGTGTTATCTATGATTACTACGCTTTTCCTTCATAATTTCAGCGGGAGGGAGGGGGAGCGGCGCTGAGGAACAGCAGAGTGCGGGCTGACAGGTGTCTGTGTTGACTTCCCCCTTATTGTGGAATAAGGGGAATGCAGAGACAGGCTGTCAAGTGTTTTAGGTTCAAGTTAGACAACTAATGTCTGGGTTAGTGTTCATGACTTCATGTTTATGTCATCTTAATGGTTCATCTCAATGCACACGCACTTTCCGTGCTTTCCAATAGTTTAAAATAGTTTTATTCCACTGTTTAATAACCTGTTCTTTACAAACATGCCACTTAACATGCCAATAACATTTCTGTGAACTGATATTTGTTTAGTGAGCTTATTAGAAGATGTTCCCTGAACGATTGTAAAATGTCAATGAAGATGTCAGACTTCGTTTCTTTGTTAATAATTACATACAATACATGGAATTTGTGTGTGTGTGTGTGTGTTCCAAGTGAATCTGCGGCCCCCTGGTGGCCAGTACATACATTATGTGGCCCCCACCACCATCCAAGTTGCCCATCCCTGCTCTACAGAGTCAGCAAATGCACATCTATGAACCTTTGGGCAGGGTCAGTGTGTTAGCAAACACATTTTGTAAGACACCCAAATGCTTTAGAATTCAGGAGTGGTGTCATTACTGGCATATTTTATGTCGTAGTATAACCATAGAGTATAACACATGTACATCTCTTGTACTTGTATTTACCACAGACCTAATTTCAGGCCTCTTACAAAACACCCATTGAAAATCTATTGGCTACAAAACAATGGAACCAGAAGTGCAAAAATGCTGTCTAATGTCTTTAATGTAGGACTGTAACTGTATCTTTAATAATTGTGAATAGTTTAGGACAGTCAGGATGTAGCATGGCCTCTGTATAGTTTTTAATTGCATATCCAATAATGAATACTTATAGAGTTTAATGTCTGCAGTCTTACCTGTGACCTTTGAATCCATTCTTGTTCCTCTTACAGTCGTCTCCATCGAGAGTAGAGTGCGCTCTGACCATCCGAGAGCAGCGTCCCCGCCTCTCTCCGTTACTCTCCCCTCCTCCTCCCCCCTTCCCCCTGTGCTCTCCCTGTGCTCCGTTGGCTATCACCCCGTTCCCCTCTTTGGGTGAACGATTGGAATGATGGTGGCGGTGTCCTCTCTCTTCTCCTCCTCTGAAGTCTTTGTTGTCCTCCTCAGGGGAGCCGGCCTGGTGGTTGTGCCGGTGTCCCTGTCCTCCTTCGTCGTGGCTGTGGCTGCTGTCCCCTCTCCTCTCTCTGTCCCCGTTGTGGTCTCTGCTCCGGCTGTGGTGGGTGTGGTGCCTCCCTCCGTGGCCTTCCCCTCCATCCCTGCCCTCCCCGTTCCTCTCGCGGTGCCGGTGGTGCCTCCTGGAGTGAGTATGGTTTTCTCCCATCCCGTCGTGCCTGAATTCCCCCGTCTCTTCGCGTCCTCCGTCTGGAGACCTGCAGGGTTTGTCACCGTTCTTGGCCTCCACCACGAGCGGCCGGTCCAGGTGAGTCATCATGTCGGGGTGCAGATGGAGGGCGGAGGCCAGCTGCAGGCGCTCCTCAGGGTCCAGCTCGTTGAACAGAGCCTCGCTGCTCGTCCTCATGTTGTGTTTCCTCAGCTGGTTGGTCCTCTGCTCCCACACTGACATGGACTTTGCTGAGCGCAGCTGCTCCTTACTGCAAACAGGGATCATCCAACAGAAAAGAATTACGGGAGATGAAAAAACAATGACATATTACTTACAACTATATATTTTCTTTGCTTAATGAGTTATTTTTCAATGGGTGAACATCACCATCCACTGTTTCATCGATAGCCACACGGTCTTCTACGAATAACACTACATTTACATGTCTTTATCTAATTCTAGTCTTTAAATAAGTAAAGTAAGAAATGAAGCAGACACCAGGTGGTCTATGGATGTGTCAGCACGAATGTTCACTATGGTAAAGCTTTCACTTACCATGCTTCAGGGAGAAAGTATCCTTTATAGCAACATAAGTATAGTTTGAATAAACCAACGCCTTAGATGGTACAGCTAGCTTATTGCTGAGGGATGTTACATGCTCAAGTCTTTGATGCAGGCAGTACAAGTGAATTTAATGCACTGGGATAAACTTTTTACCAGTATATACAGTACTATCTAAATGAATCCATGGTTTACCTTGATGAAGTAATTGTGTTCCAGCTTTGCTCGTTACCCTGTCTGTGGTGTCCATGTTGTTCTACGACAAATGAATTGCTACTTTGGACAGGGAAAAGGGAAATGACCAATTCCATTGCAAGTATTTTCAGCAAAGAGGTTTTCAGGGCTACTTTGGACTTGTTTGAATGACTACAATTGACACAAAATAGGCTTTGCAGGAGTAAATCAGAAGCATACAACAACTTAAAGCTTGTTCCATACTTAAGAAAAGCATATTTAGCAGGAAATTAAAGATATACATAATGGATGTTAAACAAATCGAGTAGGTATCTTCCAAAGTGACTCTTCCCTTTTGTTCCACACAGCCTGGTGCTTGCTCAGCCACAGCAGAGGGAATACTGTACTCTCCATACCAAATACTAAACATGCCCATTCAATTATGTTCAACTGACTGACCCATGACTTTGTTTTGGTCCCCATTTTTAATAATAAAAATGTATCAAGCCATTTTTTTAGGGACTTCTTTGCGACCACTATGAAGAAGAGGAACAATTACAGCGTTGTATCTCGTCAGTCTTGAATAAATAAGAACCTACGCTTTAACAGGGCCACAATGTCCCATGACAATTCTCATTATAATAACTTAATCAGTGAGAGACAGTGTCAATGAGCCAAATCATATCAAAATGTCCATTATCAGGAAAAAAATGTCAGAACAAATCTGAAACTAGCTGTCTGAGGCTGTGTGAAGAATTACAAATAAGTATGTCGGCACAAATGAAAGCTACTCCATGTCTTTGTTTCCCTTACACCAAGTCAGTCAAAAGGAGTAAATTAACATCATTTTTAGGAGACCAGGCTGCTTTAGTATGCCTAGTGTTAAGGGTGGGGTAGGTAAGTTTGAGAAACCGGCTCGAGATACACTTTTTGTTATATTCCATGGAATACTCTTAACATCCCGATAGCAATGAATATCTGAAGTGCTTTGACAAAAAATCCATAAAAAAAATTTCATCTGTGGAAGCCGTAGCGCTGTCTGTCAGCCTTCCATCTGTGCACAAACTTATCTCGTGCCCTCATTGGTCATGTGCGCGTTTGTGTGTGTTGGAGGAGGGGCTCTGTAAGGAAGTAGCAGATTTCTTCCGGTTGTGTATTTTCTAATTCTAGCGCACTCGAGCTGGTTTCTCCAAAATTACCCACCCCACCTTTAAGAAAACAGTTTTTTATTTTCTTAACTAAAAATGGAATAAGTTGTTTTGTCATTTAGCAAACCTTGCTAATCTGGCATGCAAGTAAAATGAAACAGACATAGTGTTTAAATTCAGTTTGACTCATGACTGTATTACCCACATGCTATGAGTAAAGGTCATTCCTGGCATGTATTGTCTTTAACAAGCTGATTCCTGGTTGAGAAGAACGAGGATATACACGTCTCTAATGGGTGAGATATGACTTTCTTTCCTTAACAAGACCTGAAACAAGCTATAAAAAAATCTGTTGTGGTTTCCATGTTTATTTCCATGCTATATGAAGACATTGCACACTGTTTCCACGCAGTATGATTTATTAAAATGGGGCATTATGGGTTAGTTAACTCTGTTCCATCTGGTCACCTGTACCTCATGATTCGTCGGGCAGGAGAGTAGTAGACAGAATAACTCCTAAAGGACAGACAGAAGACACATAGGACAAAGGACAGGTATCCACACACAGTGTTGAAAGATCACAGAAAGGAAAGTGAGGGATGAAACACTGCAGGAGCAGAGGGAGTTTTGGTGAGATATATTAAAGCACATGCACACACTGACAAACACACACGAAGGGCAATGTCAAAGAAATCACAGGGACTTCTAGTAAGACTTTTTTGTTAAATAAGCGTCCCATGGTGCACTTTAATCGATTGAGACATCAGATCGTCGGACAGGAGAGCACAATCTTAGCCTCTGCTCATTTCTTCTTTAAAAGTGCCGTCCCGGGGTCTACGATTACAAACAGACTGGAAATCTCAAACTGCCTTCGGGGATGGCAATGCTTAGAGAAATAAAACATTTATATACAAATTATTCACACCAGAGAGCACAGAGCGGAAGATGGATTACTGTAGGTGCCAAACTGAGGAGCTGCAGCCATCAACTAAGTACACAATGGTTGGTTAAAGCCAGAGTGGGTTTATGCATCAGCAACTTCACTTAAAGTGACACTCAGACTGGCCTCAGAGCTTCACACGTGTTGTCATTGTGCATGTTACTGTGTTTTTCTGCTCTCTGAGGCCTTTTGTGATGGTTTGTATAATTATCGTACATTTCATTTTACCAGAAAGGAAGATTTTAAGTTTTATGAAGGTCCCGAGGAAAAGGAGAAGAGAGGAGAGGAGGCAAGGAGAGGTTAGTATCAAGATGTAGGATTGATTGAAATGGAGATAAATCAGATGATCACAAGAAAGGAGAGGAGGAGTTGGATACATGGAGAGGAAACAAGCAGAAGAGGGGAGGAGAGCATCCAAGGAAAGGAGAATAGAGGAGAAAATTGTAACGGAGAGTGATAACTCACGCTGACTGAATGCTGTTGATGGACGACCTGCGAGAGATTGCATCTCGATTTTGCTTTACAAAACTGTACATGCAGAACAAAAAACAAAAGAATAATGAGACACAAATCCGAGGGGGACAGGTGGACGCTCAGTCTGTCCACCTGGCCCCTCTCGTCTTACAGTCAACAACTAACTGTGCAAATACGGCAATAACACAGACAACAGAAGCATGTTCCTAAGTAGAGATATTTCAATAATGACAAAAAAAACTATAACTGGAAACATGTCAGGAGTTTCATTCCAAAACAAGAAAAGAGAGTTACTGACTTGAAAAAAATACATTTACATTGTTAAATCATCTTTATATGGTTTTTCATTTAAAAAAAGGCTGTAGTTGTTTTGTAATGAAACCCTGCGACAGCATGTACATTCAACAGTTCACTTACAATTAAAGCAGTTGTGTATGAGCTTACTGACAAAAGTGTTTAGTTTACAAATGAATATATTCAGTTAACTGGGGGTAATGCACAGGACCACATAACAACAGTAATGACAGTGAGAGGGAAAATGAACTTTTTGAAAGAGCTAGGGGTGCAAAATACGTATTTGATATGTTGTTTTATAGTTGGCAAGTATATCCTTTTTAAAAGAGAGATAGATTTGGAAAGGAGAACATTGAGGGAATGACACATGCAAAGCTCTTCGGGGGCCATAACAGAAGTTTGAACGTAATGTTCTTTGCGCTTTTTTTATCTACTAGTTGGTTCCAAACTAGGGATTAACTTAATCAGGTTGCACCAATAAACCCTAGAAATGTCCTTAGTCAATAGTCAGTCAACCATTTTGAATGTTATCACCCCATTAAATGGCCGTTATGAGTTTTTATCACTACCGTTATAATGCTTCAGTAACAGGGTAATCTTCTAATAGGAAGTAGTTTAAGTTGTACGACCTCTTTTGATATAGCAGTGTGTAAAACTCCACTTAACAGATGCGTTAGAACGATGCTGTGTTTGAACTTCTGCAGCTCATCCGGCTCCTGATCACCGAGTACAGTCTAATGACCTGTTTCTGACTGAGGAGGACAGCAATTAAGGAGCGAGTGTGAATCGATGATTTCACTTAATTAAATGAATAGATGGATGTGCTGAACTGCACATCACACAAATTGCTCAGAGTATTTACCTCGCAATAAAATCTATCTGGTTCACTATAAGGTTTTTCCCCTCACATTAACAGAACAGATGGGAATTAAACATCAACATATTTTAGCCTCTAGCATTATATATATATTGCAGCTATAAATCGCAGATTAAGCTCCGTTTCAACGGCTGCTTCCTCCTGACTGACTCTTCATTTTAGTGTTCATCTCGGCCCTAAAAATAGTCGCAATTTGGGAGCGCACATAATTTGAGTTGACCCCCCCCCCATACCTGTCAATCACAGACATGTCGTGGGTGGGCGGGTCAAAGGTTTTGAATGACAGTCGCTGTCTGGGTATGTAATTATCATATAATAGGAGATGGGAACTTCTAACTTTAAATAAGTTTACTTTTATATTTTTCTCTCTGGTAGTTTAACATTACTTGAATGACATGTTGCCACTAAAGAAGTGTTTGGATGAAAACCTAATACAAAATGTGTTTGATGATATTTTTTTCTTTAAGGGGAAACAAAATGTGTGAAATAAACTGCTGTTGCAAACTAACATATTGTTGGTTGAAGCAGATATTGAAGAAAGTAGACAACACATCAGGAGCACTCCCTTAGTGGGAATAAATCAGGAGAAAGAACATCAAACACACAGAAATGTTAGAGTGTGAAGGAAGAAAAGACAACGAGCAGGAAGACAAAGGGACTTTTATCTCCAGCGCGGGGGAACACAGCTGCTGTCAGAGGAGAGAGATTCTTGGACACTTACGCAGAGATTGAGATGTTGGCTGCTGACATGGGGCTGACTTCCTTCACCTCCATAGCTTTCTGCAAGGCCAGCTTCTTATTGGCTGCCTGCTCCTGCTGCTCCTCATCCTTTAGCCAATGAAAACAGAGACATTAAATCATCCTTGTACAACCTGTTAATATCCTGTAAGGCTTTTCTCAGGTGCCTTTTTGACATGTTTCACTGTGAAGTAGAAAGAATAACTACCACATTTTTATATTAATATGTATTTTTCATTGGTCCTAAAAGACAACCTTTATAGAGTAAGACCGGGAGTACCTTAGTCAGCTCCTGTGCATTTGCGAGGTTATCGACAGCGATAGCCAAGAACACATTCAGTAGGGTGTCTGAACAACAGGACTCAGGAGAAAGCACAGACAGTATATATCCTGTAATGAAAAGGGCCTAAAAATTGTTATTTGATAAATCCGTCAGTTCGCCTGTTGGCCCGATATTTGGGAAACAAGCAGGGTTCTTCCACATCTGCAATTGAGGGTCCATGTTTATTGAGCATATCAGCAATTAGTATCAGTCCTCACTGGCCGATATAATGATTATTGTTATGCTTTTCCCAAGAAAGAGGGTTTACAACTCCACAACTGATAAACCAAAAATTATGCTATGTTGTTTCTTTATGGTTTGTAAAAGGTGTGTAATAAACACAGAAGCTTTCAGTAGGGCTTTCCAGTCTCAATGTTTGCCGAAATGAGATTTGCACCTTCCAAAGTAGGATGAATGCCGTCTCTCTTAATCAGACCAGGTTTTCCCCAGAAGGCTGCCCAATTATTTACGAAGCCCACATCGTGTGCTGGGCACCACCAAGACAACCAGCGCTGAAATGATGACATGCGGCTATACATGTCATCATTGATCAGATTGGGGAGGGGACCAGAGAAGATTACGGTGTCCGACATTGTTTTAGCAAATGCTAAAATGCTGCTCGGGAGTTGCCGGGGGACGGCTAAGAGGAGCTACCTTTTGCCGGTCCGCACCGGCTAACATGGGCTTTACTGTAGCT